TTATTGTCTGTCTTCCCCTCAGAAGGCAAGCAGCATGGCAACAATGATTTTCCCCCTCTTTTGTTTGTTTTAATGCTAGAACAGTGTGTGGCCCAGAGTAATAGATGTTCTATAAATATTTTTTGATTCTTCCCATTTCTCAAGAGAAGCTGGCAGTCCGTATTTTTAATTAAATCCTGTGCTTTTAAAATATTGGCTTAAATTTACTTTCAAACAATACTGCATGGGCCAAGGAAAACATCTTTTCAGCCTGGATCCTGTTCGAGCACCTCCACTCCACCCCCGTTTGAGGCCCGTTGTGTAAGTTGTGTCTCCCACCCCATCAGATCGTCTGAGAGTTTCTCCAGATTCCCAATTGGGCCGCGATGGACTGGACTCAGGGGAGGAGGGGAGGGGCCGGAAAAGAGACAGGGGAGATGGAAGGGACTGGGCACCATGATGGCTGCAGGTTCCGCTGCGAAGCACCTGGTTTAATTCCAAGACTGCGGGGCCGGGAGGCCGACTGTGGCGTCGAGCGCCGCGCAGACAGCTGCCGCTCTCGCCGGTTCCCTGCGGCGCCCTGAAGCGCGCGTGCAGCCCCCGCCAGCCCAGCGCAGCCCCGCCCAGGCGCGCTTAGACACCTGCTGCAGCTCTGCAGCCAAATGGGCTTTAAGAGCTGTTTTTTCAGTTCAACTCAAACCAGCAGAAGGCCTTGGAGATTCCAGGGGGTGGAGGCACAGATCCTCAGCAAACAGTGCTCGCAGGAGCCAGGGCAGGGTCTTTGCCGCGGTTAAGACGCAGGGTTGCCTAAGGGTTAGTGGCAGGCTGTGGAGGTGGGCAGATCGGAAACAATGCCTCGCTCTGCCACTTACACAGATTTATTGAGTCCCCACTGCACCCCCTGAGCTCTATGACTTATGTGAACATTTATTGAGCACCTACTGTATACCACACTCAGGACTGGCTGCAAGGTGAAAATGCAGGGCCTCTTGTTCAAATATTATTAAGAATTTCAAGACGGTGACAGGAGAGCATTAAGCCAAGGGCAGGGTCCTCCTAAGCTCAGGGTCCTTCTCTGCCTGGGTGGCAGGTCCCTGAAGCCAACCCTGTGTGCGCTGGAGGTGCAACTGTTGAACAAATACAGACCCGGGCCCTGCTGTAGGGAATCTTACAGAATAGGTGGACGGACAAACAGCACACAAAAAATAATAATTGCAGATCCTGATAAATATTATAAAGGAAACAAGCAAGATGCAGTGAGAGTAAGTAACAGGGTGAGAGGCGGTAATTTAGAGAGTATAGTGAGTATAGTCAGGGAGGGCGTCTTGGAGGAGGTGGTGTTTGAGCAGAGATGGGCAGAGCATGAGGAGGAAGCAGCCATGCAAGAGTGAGAGAAGACGCTATCGGGGCAGAGAGCACAGCAGAGGCCAAGGCCTGATGGCTGAAAAGGCCAATGGGACCGGAGCGTGGTCAGAGACGCAGGGAGAGTAGCAGGCGGGGGATCATGACGGTTCTCTGAGGTCAGAGAGAGGGTCTTAAATCTTACGTGTATCAGGTAGCCTCTGAAGCACTTCATTATCTTAAAATTATATGTTTTTAAAAAATAGCTGGTTCAGATCCCGGGTGCGGACATGGCACTGCTCGGCAAAAAGCCATGCTGTGGCAGGCGTCCCACATATAAAGTAGAGGAAGATGGGCATGGAGGTTAGATCAGGGCCAGCCTTCCTCAGCAAAAAGAGGAGGATTGGCAGTAGATGTTAGCTCAGGGCTAATCTTCCTCAAAAAAAAATAAAATAAAAATAAATGTTTGTTTTTGAATAGCTAACATATCCACATGGTTGTAGGTACAAAGGGGTATGTTGTGAGTCTCCCTCCCATCTCAGTCCCACCACCCGGTTCCCCTCCCCAGAGGCAAGCAGCGTTATCAGTTTCTCCTGCATTCTTTGCAGAAATGTTTTATGCATATACAACCCCAAATTACACACACATCTTACTTTCCCTCATGCACACAACAGTGTTGTTTTAGAACCTTGTCCTACATCTTGGTCTTTTCTGTAGACAATTTATCTTGGTGAGCAATGCATGTCCATCATAAAGCGTTGCGTTCTTCTTCATGGCTGTGTAATATTCCACCACACAATGCACCATCCTGATCCTGCAGCTGGCCAGTGCTTGTTATTAGGCGTTTAGGTTGCTTCATTGAAAGATTTTAAGCAGGACCTTGGGGAGCCCACTTAACCTCCCTGTGACTCAGTTGCTCAACTGTAAAACGGGATGAGAAGAACATCTACCACGTAAGGCTGTTGTGAGGATTGAACGAGATAAATTTGAAAGGCGCTGAGCATGTAGCACACCTGTGAAATTCCAGCCGGCGATTGTTGCCGCTGTTGCTTTTGTTTCTGAAAGTTGACGGTTCCTTGGAACCTGCACAGGACTGGGGGGCACCTGAGCCCAGGAAAGAGCTAGAGCCTCTGGCTTCCAGGGCAGGCATTAGCTTACGCTTCCTGAAGTTGCAGCTGTAGAACCGCATTGAAGCCAGGGCTGCAGGCCTGACCGAGCGAAGCCTGTGATCTCGCAGCGTCTCCGGGCGGGGCTCGGGGTGGGCAGGGCTCTGCTTGTTTCTGAGGCTGAGAGGCGGGAATATGGCCCGGGGCGCCACCAGTCACCAGACACTCGTCAGAACCCAGCAACCTGAAGCCAGGGAGGAAGGCAGTGCGGGTGTGAACAAGAGTGATGGACGGCAGACGGGCTTGGGAGGCGGTGTTCGAGTCCCGGCTTGGCTGCTTGGCAGCTGTGTGATTTTGAGCAGATGGCTTCATCACTCTGAGCCTCAGCTTTCTCCCCTGTAAAATGAGGATAACACTACAAATCTGGGAGTAGGATTGGAAGGATTGAAGTACATAACGAAGGTATGGAATGTGGCACAAAGCAGGCGCTCAAGAAATATCAGTTACTCTTGTTGGATAAACCATAGGAGAAGTAAGAAAACGGAATTACCTTTTTACAAAGTGCTTCCTGGGTGTCAGGGTCCGTGACAGGTGCTTAAACTCATCGGCTCGGTGACACCAATGTCCTGCCGTGGTCTAGGGCTGGAATCCTGCACTATTTACCCGACCACACACATCTCTGCTCTTGCTCCTTTGTCAGTGGCTGGATTCCCTCTGCTGGTCCTCCCTGGGCCTCAGGCCTCCTGTCCAGGATGGCGATGGTTTCTCTGCAGTGGGCAATGGGAGAGGCAGGGACGGTCTGAAAACGCCAGAGACTTTCTCCATTTCTCTTAACTTCCCCTAAATCCAACATCTGGGCTAGACTTCACGTAGTGTCGTCTGTAGCCAGGTAGGAGAAATCTTAGGGCCACGCTCTGTCAGATTGGACAATGGTGAGGTGGCTTGCCCAGGGTGACAATGCCCGGGCGATCAGAGCCCTGCTTTCATAACAGTCTCCCTTCTACTCCAGCATGCGGTCACGTTCTCCACAATCAGAACGTGAGGTGAGGTTTCTGGTGCTGGTGGTGGACTCGGGGAAGCAGGGCAGGGCAGTGGAGGACTCTAGGCAAGGATGTGGCTTCAGCTGGAGTCTGGCGTCAGCCTGATCCCATGGGGCACTCTGGAGCGTGCTGGCCCCACACAGCTGTCCTGCCTGGAGACACGGGGGCTGCGCTTTTATGTTCTCCCCTTGTCAGTCAGTCACCGGCTTTGGGCTGCTCCCTGCAGCAGGAGTAGCTCCTGGGTATCTCTGAGCAAGGCAGCCGCTCTTGTTGCTGAGGGCAGTTCTCTGGAAAATGGTGTTGCCGCGAGCCCTTAGCTACTAACATGCCTAGAGGCTGAGGGTGGGCACGCCACCTGTCAAGGGCACCAGCAGTGTCTGCCACGCCCCCTCCACTCCACCTGCCTCTCCACCCGAGCCCGGGTCTGCTGTCCACACACGACCTCCTTTCTCTGGGCCTCCTCCTCCAGTTGCCCAAATGGCCTCCATTACTCGGGCGTCCTCTCGCCTGGCCCAGGCCTGCTCGACCAGGCCAGCCCTGGGTGTTAAGTGCTTTGAGAGGCTTGAGTGGCCAAAGCTGAAATAAGCAGTGCTGTCCAGGGTGGCTCCTGGCCTGGAGGGACAGAGATGGATGGTTTCCATGGGGCTGCCAGCCAGGGAGTTTGGACTTTGCAGGCGGACTTTCAATAGGAAGTGAACTCTGGTGCGCAGGACTGGCGGCAGGCCAGGCTCCGCCTCGAGGGCAGCAGAATTTGGCGATCAGAGTTCCTGCGAAGGCACTGTGGATCTCTTGCCTCCATCCTCCCTCCCTTCCGGGTCCTCCAAGGGCTGTGTTTCATCTCTGCTGCAAAGCACGAGGGGAGGCATTGGGATGAACGTTCGGCCATGCAGACCAGGGGCAGCCAGGGACGCTCGCTAGCAGGGAACGAGGCCCTCGGAGCCCAGCTGGGCCAGGGGACCCAGGGCCCAGGGCCGCCTCCTCAGCTCTCGGTGCAGGCAAAAATGAGACTCTACGGTTCTTTTCAGCAGGTTTCCTTCACAACGGGAGCCACTCTCCTTTCATTTTGAAGTGGAAACGGTGAAATGGTCATATTAATCTGAGAAGGTTATGTTAGCCCCACGGGAGCAGATGAAAAGGCTTGTCAGTGATGGGCTTCCCTCCCACGTGTCCACCATCAGCCCCCTCCAGCTTCACCCACCTGAAGATTGAGCAATTCCAAAGCCTGCAGGATGGGAAAGGGTCCTCTCCCCATTCCCCTCCCAACTTCTCAACCATTCAGCTTCCCACAACACGCGGCTGCGGGCTTTGGGATGGGCCTCTCTGTGGTGACCCTTTTCTGCCGCTGGGGAGCTGTGAGTTCCAGTAGGAACTTTCCTGCTCGGGGCCTGAGATTCCCCATCTGGAAAGTGGCGACACTGGGTGAAGTTCTCTTTCTTCTCTGGATCTCCTGAGCGCCCAGCAGAGAGCGGGGACTTGAGAGATACTGAGTGGCTGAATGACTGGGTGACGTCCTGCCTGGGTTGCTGTTTTGCAGGAACGCCTGACTTCTGCCATGACGGACACCGTGTTGAGCAGCAGCTCAAGCCGCTGGATGTGTCCCAGTGACCGACCTCTTCAATCAAAGTAAGTCGCTGGGTCTTTTGGGGAGTGGCTTGTTTGGGGCCCCTGAGGTCCTGATAGATCTACGCTTAAAGGAGAAAAGGAATGGCAAGGAAAGAAATAGGGGTCGGGGAAAAGGAAGCTGGTGGGAATTTTGTCTTGGAAACCTCTCCACTGATCTTACTGCTTTGCAAGGGTGGAATAACCAGATCAAATTCCGAGGTCCATGCCCCAAATTAGAGGTGGCCTGGGGAGTGGTGGGCCCGCTGACCCCGGTGGTTAGAACCACCTGGTTTTAGGTCCTGGTTTTAGATCTGAGCTAATTTACTGTGTGATCACAGGTGAATCTCTTCCCCTCTCTGGGCCTCAGTTTCCCCATGAATCAAATAAGGAAACTGGGCTTGATCAGAGGTTCACACTGGCCTCCAGCTGACTCTGACTCACGGAAGTATGTTTTTGATTTTTGGCCCGATCGTTTGAAAATTGGGAAATTTCACGTCAAAGTAACTTCCCATTTCTGTATCAAGAATTTACTTATAAATAATTTCTTATTTATAAGAAATTACTAGACTTGAATCAGTGGTGTGCTGGGTCTGTATGATTGTGGCTCAGGAACGCTGATGTCAAATTTTCAGGAACTTTGCGAGCCAGTGGTTAAACACAGCCATTATTAAAAATTAAGTTATCTAATTTTACAATTAAATTCTATTAAATATAAAGGATATAAATACTCAAAATTCATCACTTCTTAATTCTTTTACTGCATTTCATTATTCTCTATGTTAAGTATGTCTGCTATACGTGTAGGGTAAAATACTATATATAATGGCACGCTACTGAATATTTCTTCCCAGTTCTGCATTCGGTGACATCCTGTTGGTATGTGAAATCAGCCACAGTGGGGCTTTTTCCCCAGAGATTCAATGGTTAAAATCTGCCAGCACACCACTGCCTGAAGTCCTTGACAATCTAAGTCTGTTGTTTATTGTTCCTGCAGAGTTTCACTCATAAGGACTTGTTTCTTTGGACGCTTGGTCATTTTTTATTGTGAGCTCGATCTGAGGCTCCTGGGGATCTGCTTTGGGGATAGTTTCCTTCAGAGAGATTTGCACTTGCTTGGCCAGGAGTCAGGTGTGCTGCTCAGCCAGGAGGACCTCAGCTCCCTTGGAGGGTCCCGGCTCACTGCAGGGGTCTCAGACTCGGCTCCCATGCCTGGTTGGGAGCTCAGGGTCAGACTCTGGAACGTGGTGCTGGTGTCTGCATGGGCTTACGGCTCACAGCTCCCGGTTCTGGATTCAGTTTGCTGGGTTTTCATTTTCTTTTCTAAAAAATTGCCTTCTGAAGGTATAATGAATGTACCTTCAACAGAATGCATTTAGAGTACAATTTGGTAATTTAAAGACATATGTATATACTCATGAAACTGTCACGATCTGCATCGTGGATAAAGTCACTCACCCAAAAGCTTCCTTGTGCCTCTTTCTCCCCCCTCTCTCCACGCATCCCTGGGTAGTCACTAACCTTCTTTCTGTAACTACAAAGTAGTTTGCATTTTCTAGAATTTTATATAAGTGGAATCGTACACTGTGTCCTCTTTTTTGGGGAGAGAGGCCTCTCTTCTTTCACTCAGCATAATTATTTCACCATCCATCCATATTATTTTCACATTAACAGTTTGTTTCTTTTCATTACTAAATAGTATTTCATTGTGTGGATAGACCACAATTTGTTTATTCATCTTTTGATGGACATTTGGGTGTTTACCGTTTTGAGTGAGTACAAATAAAACTTTGTATAGATGTATGCTTCCCTTTCTCTTCAGTAAACACCTAGCAGTAGGATGTCTTGGTTATATGTAGGTGTGTGTTTAACTTTTTAAGAAACTGCCAAACTGTTTTCCGAATTGGTTGTACCATTTTAGATTTCCACCACGAGTGTATGAGAGTTCCAGCCTCTCTGCCTCCTCACCAGCACTTGATACGATCAGTGTTTTCAATTGTAACCATTCTAGTGCGTGCATAGAGGTATTTCTTTGTGGTTTTAATTTGCATTTCCCTAATGACTTATGATGTCAATCATCTTCTTATGTAGTTTTGCCATTCATACAACCTGTTTGCTGAAGTGTCTGTTTAAAACTTTTGCCCATTTTTAAATCAGGTCCTTTATCTTCTCATTATTAAGTTTTACAGGTTTTCTTCATATGTTATAGATAAAAGTCCTTTGTTGGATATACTTTCTCTCAGTCTATGACTTGTCTTTTCTTTTTCATAACAGAGTCTTTTAAAGAGGAATAGTTTTGTTGTTTTGGTTTGGTCTTTTTGAGGAAGATCAGCCCTGAGCTAACATCTGCTGCCAATCCTCCTCTTTTTGCTGAGGAAGACTGGCCCTGAGCTAACATCCGTGCCCATCTTCCTCTACTTTATATGTGGGACGCCTACCACAGCATGGTGTGCCAAGCAGTGCCATGCCCGCACCCAGGATCCGAACCGGCAAACCCCGGGCCACTGAAGCTGACTTAACCGCTGTGCCACCAGGCTGGCCCCAGGAACAATTTTTTATTTTGATGAAGTCTATTTTTTGGTTTTGAAAAGGGTATTGGAGAATTCCCTTACTTTCTAGAAATCCCAGAACTGCAGTAAAAAATGTTCGCCTTGATTTATCAAGGAGCTAATTATATATTGGAGAAGGTCTTTCTGAATATTTAGTGTGCTCACATTCTCTGAAGCAAGAGCCCCTGCTGTTTCCTACTTTGACCTGAAACCTCCTCCAGTCCTGAGTTTTACAGTTTTGAAGACACTGTTGAACTCTGTGGGTCCCCTTTTCAAAAGCAAACGCCCAGTTTCCCAAGCCCCTTCCTTGACGTCCTCTTGGAGCCAAACTTCTTTGCAGAGAATATTCTATCAGCCAAAAAGCGTGTCTGTGTAAGATAAACGGTTGCCTGAAGGATGTGTAGGGTAAAATATTTATCTTATTTCAGAAATGTCAGTTAATTAAAATCCCATCCATCAGAGTTTACTTTAGTCAATATGAAGCCAAACAATTTACCTTACAATTAAATTAGAATGATTCAAGCAGCCTGGACGCCGCTTCATTAAGGTGCTCCTGGGCCCCTGTGACGCATCTTGGCATTCGGAACGCATCCGACCGGCTTGATTGCAACTGCATTTTCTTCCGATATTAAAATTATTTTCCAATAAATGCTAATGGGTGAATTATAGTCATCGCACATGATTTCTAGTCTGCTGCAGGGGTAATGTGCGAATGCAGACGCTTCTAATGTCTTTCTCCAGTAAATTAAGAAGCCAAGTCTTAATTAACTGCTGGCTAGCCAGATACACTTCAGGCTTTTGTGATTTTCCAATGCCTTGCTCTCTCAAGCTCCTTGAATCCCACCACGGTGTTTGAAACACAATTGCGATTGTGTTAGAAAGAACTGAATGTGTCTGCTTCTTGCAAGGGTAGGGCAGTGGTTCAGCTCTTTATAATGGGAATAAATGGGGAGAAACACTGGAAAGCTGATTCTTCCATAGCTTGCAAGTCTGCAAGCATGAGAGTGCCAGAGATCGGAGGTGGAAACTGAGGCAGAAAGAGAGGACGTGACCTGTCTGTGGTTGCGCACCTGGTGAATAGAGATGCTCGTCTCCTTTCTAGAATGGAAGGACTTGCTTCTCCAAACTGGGGCACTGCAAGTTTTCCTTCTGGATAATCCAGTTATCGTTCAGGGCTCATTGCCCTCCTCAAAGGGCTTCTAGTCCCCCATTGTCTGAAAACAGGAACCGAGATTGAAGTGGGCCGTGCTATCATGAAGTGATTTCTCTTTGGTGCACCAAACCCATTATTCGAATATGTAAATGATCAGCCCGATTAATTAATGAACTGAACTAATTGGTCATTTTAATCAACACTGTGGATTTTACAACCCTACACTCGAGCAGCCTTGTTTTAGATGTGCTGGAATAAGATAATAATGAGCAAAAAATTTGGAAGTAGGTCTTCATATTTAAACCGTGTGGTTGTTGCATCTAGACAGTATTGGTGGTGTTATCAGATTTCTTTCCCAACTTTATTCACTTTTTCCTTTCTCTCTTTTCTTTGCCTTCCTTCAGTGATAAAGAACAGTGAGTATTTTATGACACTTTTATTTCTCTATGAGCTGAATTTTGTCTCTTTTCTGATCAATATGGCTTGCCCCTAAGGAGAGATGGTTAAAAAAGGAACTAGCAAATTTTACATATCTAAAAAAATTCCAAGCTATTAAAAACACACACACATGCCTCTTGAGAAAAAAATTATGAAGTTTCAGAAAAATATCTTGATAAAAGGATGGCAAGTGTTCCTTAGAAGAGCCCTCGATTTAAATCTTGTTAGTAACATGTGGTTTTCAGCAAGTGTATTGACCACTTTCTGTGCCCCTGTTTCTGCAGCATTTTGCGTGGTAACAGTGTTTTTAGATGAAGAAAATGTTAACTCAGATAACCGCTGTCATTAACAAAAGATGATGATGAACAGAACAGAGCTAATGGGAAGTGATGAGTGGTACATATGGTCTCTGTCACCTCGGGAAGTCAGCCTGATCTCCCAGGGGGGTGCCTTCCACACAGAGGTCCTATCTTTGCTCACAACTTTTGTGTTTGAAATTGGATTCATTTCCTAAATATGCGTGACAGATTGGGCGCTGGGTCCAATGAATGAACAATCGGGCTGCAATGCAGACTGGGCTTCGGTTGCGTGTGCACATTTAGAAACCACGGAAAGTCATTTTTACCCTCCCCATGATGGAGAGCCTACCTCAGAGCCACAGCAGAGCCCTGGGTCTGGCGTCAGAAGCCCCGGGTCTGAGTCCTGCTCTGATGTTCAGTGTCAGTGCGTCCTTGGGCACTGCCCTTCACTTCCTTGAGCTCTGGCTCTCTCCTTTGTAAAATGGGTATGATAGCCCTGCCCTTCCTCCCTCGCCAGGTGGTGGCAGGATCAAACAAGATGCACAGGAAAGCTTTGCTAACTGTAGAGCACCAAACACAGCCAGAGGAAGGTGTGAATCACAACCTTGCCTTACCCTTCTGTATATATATACATTGTGTGTGTGTATGTGTGTATATATATATACACACACACACACATTATATAAATACATTGTATACATACGTTTTACATATATACCTTATATGTATACATTGTGTGTGTGTGTGTATGTATATGCATACATAGCACTGACATAATGCATCCAGCTTTTTTGGACCCAAATGACCACATCATCGGGCCCAGAATCCTCTAAAGATTTTCTTAACACTGATAAACACTTAACTAGGCTCTGTGCCTCAGCTTCTCCATCTGTAAAATGGGAGCTTTGAACAAGCTGATTGCTAAGGACCATTTGAATGTTCTGCAGTCTCTGTTGTTGGCTGGGAAGACTCTGGCCAGGCGACAGCTGCTGCTTATGAATATCGTGAGTCTATTGTTCAGACATGCCAGGGAGAGAGACCGAGACGTTGTCAGATTATAAATATGAACATGGGAAGAGAGAAGTTCATGGTCCAGAGGGTCCCAAGGCTCTAGCAGGCTTCCTGAATGCTGAAAGTTGAAAGGTAGAGTGTATGTTCATCCTTCCTTCCTTCCTTCCTTCATTAACAAATACTGAGTTCCCACTATGTATCAAGCACGGTGCTAGGCTCCAAAGATACAGAGATAGCCAAAAATACAAGTATGTGTCCAGTGGGGTCTAAAAACAAATAAATAGCCAGTCACCAGCAAATACACTCCAGTGTGCAAGTTGCTATAATAGCAGCGGGCTGTGGGAGCACAAGGACAGGCACCTAGCCCAGACTTGGGGGTCATGATGGGAGAGCTTCCTGGAAGAAGTGATGTGTAAGCTGAGACCAGGTGAAGGAGAAGCAAGATGGAGACAAGACAGAGGAGTTCCAGGTAGGGGAATAGCATGTGCTAAGTCCAAAGATGATAGCATGGAATTTTAGAAGAACTGATGGAACACAGACTGGCTTGAAAGATTAGCAGGACGCAAGATTCCCTTAACATTCTGAAAGGGGTGGGGGCCACAGCATCCCTCCTGCACCCCCTTTAGTCTGGTAGGGGTAGATTTCAGGCAAAAGGGCCTTTGTCCCAGCAGGCGTGTGTAAAACATTTTGTGGTGCAGCTGCTCTTCCTTCCCCGTCCTTTCCTTCAGGATTCATTAAAATCTCATTCACTGAGCTGTAAAGAGATTTCCTGCTGACACCTGCCCTTATCGGCATCCTCGGGGGAGGGAGGGGAGAAGGAGGAGAAAGGAAAGAAAAAGGATGAATTTTCCGCACACCACTGCTGCTTAATGCTTCAGAACCTTCGTGCCCCGACAGCACTTCGGTCCTCCTGCTCCTGTGGGAGTTATCACTGATTAATAGAGACATCTGCTGGGTATTTATTACGTGACTATAGTGCGTGTGAAATGAAGGATTGAGGTGGGAGGCCAAAAGGGGATGGGAGGGTGTGCTTTGCAGTAGTTTAGGGGGACACATCTGTGAGGGGCTTCAATCCGGCGTCAGGACCAATGTCCTTAGGAGAGGCCACTTCTGACCCTCTCTGGATGACCTAAGCAGGTGCATGCACAGGGGAGATGAAGCGTTTCTAGAATGCTGCTTTTTCGAGCCTCTGACTGTGCTCCCACCACATGTTTCTCTGCAACCCCCTGCCCTCTTCTGAGCAAAGGCATCTGGAAAATGAGCAGGTCAACCACAATTATCTTTAGACTTTTTGTTAGCAGCAAAACTCTTCCTCTGAATAATATTTTATTCAGAAGCTAAATATATAAGACAGACAAGTGGCAGTGGCTAAAGACCTTTAGTGGTTGAAAGCATTGAACAAGTCATGGTAAACTTCATGCAACTGTGATTTAAAATAATACCAAACTGTAAAATAAACGCAGGGAGTCAAACAAGCTTCACATTTGTGTTGCTGTTGCCATCGTGGATACTGTATCAGTTAGCTTTTGCTGTGTAACAAACCATCTTAAAACTCAGCGGCATAGAACAATGGTTTATTCTCAGGGATCTGGGCTTGGCTGGCGGCTCTGCTGATCTTGCTGGGCTTGCTCACGTGTCAAAGAGCTGATCCAGGATGGCTGTTGCTAGAACGGCTCAGCTCTGCTCCACATGCCTCTCACCCCCACGGTGTGCTGTCCTGGGCTTGTTGTCATGGTGATGGCAAGGCTATAAGAGAGCAAGCAGAGATGCACTCGGCCTTGGCAGGCTTAGCCTTGGGACGGGCACACCACCACTGCCCTGCATTTTATTGACAAGCAGGTCGTCAGTTTGGGAAGGATTTGAAGGGTAGGGAAATAGACTCTGACCCTCTGTTGGGAGCAATTTCAAATTCACATGGGAAAGCACAAGGATGCTTAGAAGGAGGAAGCATTGAGGTTTTCAATGCAAAAAATCATGCCTTTATTAAATATCAACTATTAAATCATTTAACATTTTTTCTGTTTATTTTCTTTGCTGGCATCCTTGCCTTGCTAGTGCTGCGAAGCCAGCATTGCCATCTGGCTGAAGCGAGGGTGGAGGGCCTGGTTCCCTCCCGCCCTGTCCCTCTTTGCACCGCTCCCCAGCAGCCCTGGGAGATCCCTCTGGGGAGCTGCAGAGCAGTTTGAGAACCGTGGCATAGAGAGTCGTGGGGAAGAGGAGGCAGCTGCCTGTCAGTGTTTCTCCAGTAATCATTGTCCTAAGTGTGTGAATAAGAGTGGAGACAGCCAGCCCTCTTTGCCCTGAGCTGGCTTAGCCAGTAAGCCAGGGGTCTCTCCGTCTGCAGCCTTCGAGGGTCAGGAGTGGCCTCTGAGGGTCCCAGCAGGAAACAGACATGAAATCATTCCTACTTAACAGATTGGGAAACCGACATTCAGGGTGGCGCAGAGCCCAGTACACACTGCTAGTAGCTGGCAGGTCCAGGGCTCCAATCTTGAACTCCGCCGGCTCGAGGAGAGCTCAAGAGGACCCACAGTAGGCCCTCTGGGTGTTTTCTGGATTGGACACGATGCTCTGAGTCACTTGTCCAAAGAAGCAATACTTTGGTCTCTAGCTTTGGTCTTAGTTCCAACACTGGATTCTGGTCTTAAGGACGTGGAGCTGGGATCCTGTGCCCAGAGTCCTTTGGCGAGAGAGCCACCGTCCTGTCACAGGGACATTCTCGAGGCCCCAGGCTCACAGTGTTCCCCGGTCCCGGGGAGGCGCGGTCAGCCCCGTTCTCTCCCTTGAGAGCAAAGGCTTTGCTTTGAAAAGCCATCTCGTTTCCCTCTGTTTGCTTTTGGAATTAAAACAGGAAAATCCACAGGAGGCTTGTGAGTCCCCACTGAGACCAGTCGGCGACATTTTCAAACACTGGATGAGCTGTTTGTCAACTGTGTGTTTGGAGCAGCGGATGGGGGAAGGGCTTGGAGCGGGGCCGGCAGCCTCCAGCAGACCGTCTGCTCATCTGCAGATGGAGGCAATTATCCTAGGCGGGCCGTCTTGGGAACCTCCATCCCTGCTTATGGTTTTGGAACCGTGTGTGTCCAGCAGCACTGTTTCCTGCACACGCTGACCCCAGTGAGTTGTGTGGTGGGGTGAGGGGCATTGGCTTCAGGTCTGGGCAATGGCTGACCGTGCCCATGACCAGGTTGTGAGCTGCAGGAACAGGCCCTTGGAGGGGTCTCTGCTGGGTATGAGGCCCAGCATCTCATCTGTGCTCTGTGTTGGTCACTGAGCTGCTTTGCAAAGGCAGGAAATAAATGGAGGGGGGTCAGAAGGGAAGGAAGGAAGAAATGTAGGAATGAAGGAAGGAAGAATAGGGGCAGCTGAGACATCCATTTCCCTGGAAACCAGAGGGACCTGGGGAGGAGGCTGGATTAGGTTATGGCCAAGGCAATTTGGGAAGGACAAGTGGTCTTCATTATGCAGGAGTCGGGGTATCCTTTCAAAATAACAGAAAGAAACATAAGAGGGATATTACTGCACCATAGGGGAGATCTTTCCAACAGAACAGCATAGACTCCTTATAAGAGAGTGAGGTCTCCATTGTGGGGAGCATTCAAGCGAGGCTGGAAGGACCCCTGCTAGGGAGGCTGCGGCAGATAGACTTTCAGGTGATTCCCAATGGTCCCCACCTCCTGGGGTTCGTGCCTTTGTAATCCCCTCGCCTTAAGTGTGGGCAGGACCTGGGATGTGCTTCTAAGCTATAGAACACGGTGAACAGGATGGGAGGTCACCCTCGTGATTACGTTGTGTTACCTAAGACTCCGTCTCTGTCAACAGGAGCTAGAGATTCACCTTGCAGGCTTGACAAAGGAAGCAGCCCAGGGGATGAAGTTGGGAAAGTCCACTTGGTTAGGAATTGCAGGCTGCCTCCAGCACCTGGGGTGGCCTCCTGCCACCAGCTAGCAAAAAGCCAGGCCCTCAGCCACACCACTGCAAGGAAATGAATTCTGCCACTAACCCAAATTTGCCTGGAAGCCGATTCTTTTCCAGTCAAGCCTCTGATGAGAATGTAGCCCAGCTGACACCTGATTGCAGTCTTGTGAGACGCTGAGCGGAGGACCCGGCTAGGGGCCTGGACTCCTGGCCTAAACTGTGAGATAATAGACGTCTGTGTGGGAAGGCCCTACATTTATAATAATTTGTGATGCAGCAATAGAAAATGAGGACAGACACTGTGGATGGGGCTCTATGTCCCCAGTCTCTCTCCTCCAGCTGGGCTGGTTCTCCAGTTATCCACGCTGCAGGACGAATACCTCAGACTTAGCGGCTTAAAACGACAGAAACCATTCATTGCATCTCAGTTTCCGTTGATAGGAATTTGAGAGTGGCTTGGCCCGGTGGTTCTGGCACACGGTGACTCATGCAATTGTGTCATATGTCAGCTGGGGCTGCCGTCATCGAGGGTTTGACATTGGGCTGGAGGATCCACTCAAGTTGGTGCTGGCTGTTGGCTGGGGGCCTCAGTTCCTCTCCACATGGCCTCTCCACAGAGATGTCTGAGTGCCCTCATGACGCGGCAGCTGGCTGTCCCCAGAATGTATGACCCGAGAGACCAAGGCAGAAGCTGTGATGTCTTTTATAGCACAGCCCTGGAGGTCATACACGGCCACTTTCAGCATATTTAGTCGGTCACACAGGACCAGCCGGCATTCAGTGTGGGAGGGGACCACACAGGGAGGGTGTGACTGCCAGGAGGCAGAGATCCTTGGAGACGATCCTGTAGGCTGCCTCCCTGTCGATCTCCCTTCACCTCCTCAGACACGCTGCCCACTCTCTCAGCTCCAGGCCTTTGCGAAGACGACCCTTCTGCCAGGTCCAGTCTCTGCCTCTGCTTTCCCTCGCCGGCTCCAGCTTATCTTCACCGTCTCTGTAGGAGCCAGCCATAGCTTTGTGGGGCCTGAGGCTTATAAAGCTTAGGGCCCTCTTCAAGATAAAGAAAGCAAAATGTCTTGCTTTTGCAAATTTTTCAGATCACATGACCATTACTAGGGCCCTTCTCAGTCTTGGAAGGTGCCTGTGCCCACAAAAGTTCCTGAATTTAAGCTTTGCCAGCATCACAGTAAATCCTGTTCAGCGTCTCAGAGGAGATGTCACCTCCTCAGGGAGCGTTCCTTGGTCCCCTAGACTAAGTAACTTTCACTGCTTTGGTCTCCCCATGGGTCACACATACAATTAGATGTTTAACAAACCTTTTGGCCACAAGGCACCGTATCTTATTCAAAACCTCTACGTGCTTACTCTCAGACGCTATTCTAAATGCCATTGACATAATAGTGACCCAGACACGTCCCTACCTGCCCTCCTGGAACCTACATTCTGGTGGAGGAAGAGAGGCAACAAACGGGTAAATTGCAAAAATCTTTAAAAAGATAATTTCAATTAGTGATGGCTGCAGTACAGAAAGTGAACCTGGGCAATGGGAGACCAGAGAAGACCTCTCTGAATGACGAGAAGGAGCCAGCCATGGGAGATCTGGGGGGATAAGTGTTCCTGGAAGGGGGCACAGCAAGTGCAAAGGCCCTGAGGCAAAAACAAGGTTTCAGTGTTCAAGATTGAGCAGGGAGGCCAGTGTGGCTGGAGTGAAGGGAGAGCAGGGGGCAAAGAGGATGAAGAGGCAGGTTAAGGTCAGATCAGGTAGGATTTTGCAGATAGGCGAGAAGATTAGGTTTTATTTTTATTAAGGTCAGATTCACATAACATAAATTAGCCATTTTAGAGTGTGCAATTCAGTGGCATTTTGCATATTCACAATGTTGTGCACCCACCACTCTGTGTAGTTCTGGGTTTTATTCTGAGTCAATGAGAAGCCACTGGAGGGTTCTGAGAAGGGGGTTGAGCGTCTTTAGCATCTGTTCATCTCCGGAGGTCCCTGCTCCTGGGCCAGGTGCGTTTCCACCAGCATTTCCGCTGCCTCCTTCACTTTCTCACAGCAAGACTCGCCCCAAGGCATCTGCTCCCTCTGCTTCCACCGTCTTCCTTCCCTGCTTTTCAGAGCAGACCAGCTAAGGTGGGAGCATGGGGCCTTTCATTTCCAACTTTGAGTGTCAAAAGGCGATTCCACGCAGCCCTCACCCTCTGCCCAGCAGCCTCTGGTCCCGGCACCATCACGGGCTCTGCGGGCAGGTGCCCCATTCTGCTGCTGTGGAGGGTCAGCACACAGCCTACCTGGGGCTGAAGCCCGCCTCTGCGCTTCTGGCCACGTGACCTCGGGCAAGAGGTCTGATTTTTCCACTTCTGACTCTCCTCACCAGTAAGTAGACAATGACAATCCCTGCCTGTAGGGATGCTGTGAGGGTTAAAAGAGGAAATTTGGGCATCTAGTAGGGATGAGGTGAGGGATAATGAGGTAATGCAGGCACACAGTAGGGATGTAGGAATAATGAGGTGATGTGGGCACACAGTAGGAATAATGTGAGGACTAAATGTAGTAATGTGGGCACATAGTAGGGATGATGTGAGGAATAATGAGGTAATGTGTGCACACAGTAGGGATGATGTGAGGACTAAATACAGTAATGTGGGCATCCAGTGGGTGCTATGTAAGTGTTTGCTTTAAAAAAAGGAAAAGCCATAAGAGCACAGGATGGAACTCAAAATGCTGCAGGAGCTAATGAGGCTGGAAATCTGGATGTTTATGTGAAGTCAAGAGAGATTTCCAGGGGCCGGCCCGGTGGCGCAGTGGTTAAGTGCGCACGTTCCACTTCAGCAGCCCGGGTTTTGCCGGTTTGGATCCTGGGTGTGGACATGGCACTGCTTGGCAAGCCATGCTGTGGTAGGCGTCCCACATATAAAGTAGAGGAAGACGGGCACGGATGGTAGCTCAGGGCCAGTCTTCCTCATCAAAAAGAGGAGGACTGGCAGCAGGTGTTAGCTCAGGGCTAATCTTCCTTAAAAAAAAAAAAAAAAAAAAAAAGAGAGGTATAAACCTAATTGGCAACTAGTTTAAATTTCTATTTAAAAAAAATGTCTGTGGTCCAAAAAAATGTCTGTGCCAGGCTGGGGTCCACCTGGGGCCCAGGGCTTCAGACGGCCCTCCCAGAATTGCTTCCACTCCAGCTGTGAAGTCTACTGTTCTGGCTTCTTTTCCTGAGAACACCGTCACCCTGCAGGTTCCCACGGGCTTCCTGCAAATGCCGCTTATGGGGTGTCTCCCACGTGCTACACCCTTAATAAAAATAAACTCATTAGGACCATGTGAGGAGGGGACGTGTGTCCCGTTGTACAGATGAGCAAACTGAGGCTCTGGGAGACATGAGCCTTTTGCCCAGAGTCCCCCAGGAGGGATTCGAACTGACTTACCAGACTCCAGGGGCTTCAGCCTAACCACTACTCCACCTTGCCTACTGGGCTTCTCTCCAGCCTCACTCCTTCCCAAATTACCTTTCAGGCTCCAGACAGGCTGGTCCGTCCACCCCAGCGGCCAGCCCGACAGACAGAGGAAGCAGGAAGAGCTGACAGATGAGGAGAAGGAGATCATCAACAGGGTGATCGCTCGCGCCGAGAAGATGGAAGAGATGGAGCAGGAGCGGATCGGGTGAGGCCTGCCATTCCCGGCGTTCCGAGAGGCCCCGAGGCCGTGATGCTCAGGGGCTGTGCTGGGGCGGGGCTGGGCTGCCAGTGGGGCTTGTCATCTGTGACACGCCAGGCCACCCACCCGGGCAGAATGGAATCCTTGTTGCACGAGGGGCTGGGGACTGGCCCGGGAGGGGGCTTCCTTCCTGGGGGAGGGGCATCATCTGATGAGGAGATGGGAGAGTGTCATCGGAGGCTGGATGTGTGTGCAAGCACAGGGTGTCTTTGCCCATTTCAGCTACACAGAAATATGCTCTAGAGACGTTGGCCATGTGAATGCTGGAACATGCAGCCGAAGGAGCGAGTGTATGTCCGAGGGACAGTGCGCAGAATGGCACATTGAAATGAATTATATAAGAGAGCTGGAGAAATCAATCCGGAAAGGGGAGCCAGCATGGGAGGAGGGCCACAGAGGTTAACCTGGTGGGTCTGGACTCGAAGAACCCGGGTTCTGTCCAGCTCCCCGCTTGCCCGCTGTCCATTCTGAGCCTGCCGCGTTGTCTCTCTGAGCTTGGTGTGCCCACTACTAGAGTGGGAGAAATAACAGTAACTATCCCATGGGGTGTTGTAAGCAGTAGGTGAAATGATGCGTGTGCAACCTGGCCCGGGTCCTGGTAATACGTCATGTTTAATAAATAGTAAGAGGAAGGAAAAAATGGGGTTTGGAGGGTAGACATTTAAAAATCTGTATAGGAGAGAAGCAAGGGCTGTAAGAAGGATGTGTGACATGTGTGTCAGAGAGTGACGACATCAGTGAGCAAGGACGGTGCTAGAGAGAGGGAGTGGCGTGTGGGTGGGCTTGAGAAGTGAGGAGCGGGGGTCGGGTGATCATCAGTGAGGAGGAGTGAGAGGGGATGGGAGGAGAGGCCATCTGTGTGTAAGGGGAGCTCCTGGCCGGGTTGGGAACTTCAGCTGCCAGCATGCCAGGCCCCTAGAGTGGTCCTCGGAGATTGGATCTCCACTGGGAAATGGAGGGGTTCTGGGGTGCGTCCTCCCACCCAGGCCCTTCAGCCAGGGGCAGCCTTTGCCAACTGCTTACAACTGATTTAGGCCCCGAGGTGCCCGTTTATCTCCCTCCCCACACAGTCAGCTAGGGCTTAAGGAGGTTCTTGAGTGGAAAATGATGCTGCGAACATGCAGGAAGTGGGTCCCTTTGCTTTGAGCCTCTGCAGATAATTTTGCTCAGGGTGCACTGGGGAGATCCGAGGCACTGTTGACAGTTGACAAACACCCACCACAGCCTGTCGGCTTCATGCTCGACCCTCCGTCAGCATCTTCAGGAACTTGCTGAAGGGATGGATCTCGAGAGGCCTGCTTATGGGATTCAGCTTTTGTTTTGCTTTTTAAAAGATATATCGGGAGTGAGCAGTTGTCTAGGCTGGAGGTCTTGGAACATGTGTGTGAGTGTGAGTGTGTGTGTATGTGTGTGTGTTCACTTCACCCAACAGTGGGCCTCAGCCTCAGAAAGGAGGGACATGGATGTGAAGGGTAAACGCTTGGAAGCAAGAACTCCCCTCCACCTTTTTCCTGCATGGCACTTGCCACCAGCTAACACATTTTGTGTTTTACACATTTCATTTGACTATTGTATATCTCTCCCCGTTAGATTATAGCATTCCTGAGGGTAGAGATTTTTGCCTGTTTTGTTCACCACTGAATCCGCAGAGCCTGGCACATAGTAGGTGTGCAGTAAAATATTTGTTGAGTCAATGAGTGACGATGGCGGACGATGCTGCCCCCAATTTCTTTCTACGCTTCCTGTGGCCAAGAGGCTGGAGAGTCCAGAGTCCAGGTTCCCAGGGAAGGCACTCTGATTGGCTGGCTGATGTCAGGGGCTATCCCTCGTCCAGTGAGCTGTGGCCAGGGGTGCCGGCCGTGTTGTACAAACACAGCCACTGGGCTGCCTCTGGGGGCGAAGTTAAGGGGGTCTCTGTGGCCTGAGCAGATTCCAGCTTGAACATTCTAGAACAGAGTAGGTGGGATCTCTGCCTTGTCTTCCATGTCTTCCTACATTGCCTCGAGTAACCTGATGACATGGTGGAATAGCCAGTGGTTGATGCCTGGGGCCCCAGAGTCAGAGAGACCTGGGTTCAAATTCCAGCTCTGCCACTTACTCCCTGTGTGGCCTTAGGTAAGCCACTTTACCTCTCTGTGCCTCAGTTTCCTCATCTGCATAACAGGGATAGCATGAGCTGTCCTTCTTGGTGAGTGTTTAGTTAGTGCATGAAGGATCATCATGGTGCCTGGCACAGAGCGCCTGTCAATGAGTGGTGGCAATCATCTAACAGTGCATTTGCTCAGGAAGCTCAGTTTTTGCCCCTGGCCAAGGCCTCCGCTCTAGAATTATGCCCCGAGACTCCTGTTTGGCGAGCCCTGGAATTCTGGCAGCCCCTAGCTTCCGCGGCAAGGGATCTGAGAGGCTTCCAAGGAAGCAGGGCCAAGCCTTGGTGACAGAGTGTGTCCCTCTGCTGAGATGGGGTGCTTGCCGCTAGAGCGGGGAGGGCGTTCCTGGGGGATTCTGGCTGTGGCCGGTTCCCTGCACTTCCAGCAGCCAGCCCTCGCTGGCAGCATCGCCAGAGGCAAACCCAGCGCTGTTTGTGTCCTGTAAGCGCCAACCTGCCCTCACTTTGTTCTACCCATGGTTCCCTGGAGCGGGATCAGAGCAGAGTCAGATGAAAGCAAAGCCACGCATCAGACAAGAAGCGAGGCTGCAAACGGGGTGCCGTCAGGGCTCCCTCTTCAGAATCCGAGGCTCTCGGTTAGTGAGGCTTGGCGGCCTCAGTTTCCCCACCCATCCAATGAGGCCGGTCAGTCTGATTCTCAGGACCTTCCTGCTCAGACTCTGTGGCATTTGGGGGTGTCTGAGGGAGGACCCCGTACTGTGTTGCTGGCTGCCCCTCTCAGAGTAAATGAGCTCCTTCTAACTGTTGAAATGGCAGATGTATCTGGGGACCCTTCTGGGTCCAGACACCAGCTCTGTGAGGCTGAAGCTTCTTTTCTATTACACGGGAAAGCCACCTGGGAGAGGTGTGAAATCGTTGTTAATAAACATAATAAATAATCACCATAGTGGGTATCATTTACTGAGCACCTACTGTGTGCCAACCTCTGAACCTAAAACCTTCCTATGGGCTAACTCAGTAACTGCTCCTCTCAACCTTATCAAGTAGGTGGCATTATTATCCCCATTTTGCAGGTGAGCAAACTGAGGCTGAGAGAGGTTAGGTCGCTTGCCCAAGGTCACACAGGGCCAAGATACACAGCCCTGTCTGGCTGACCCTCAGAATATTGCTCTTAACTATTAGGTGTCATTCCTGAAGTCTTGGCCCCAAACTCTTAGACTCTGCAGAACATGGAAATTTTAAAAGCTCAGGTTTGGAGGAGACGTTTGGGGATCTAGAACCCCTTCTGTGCTGGGCCAGTGATTTCTTCCAGATGGTATTAATCTGTTTGCACCCCCATAGCTGCCGGAACTGGTCTCCAGGCTCCTGGGGCTCTGAGAGTGCGAGGGGAGAATGGCCCTCAGGCCTCCCGGGGGGGCTGCCTCCCTGGGGCAGCTCGGCAGGAGTCAGCCACCCCAGGCAGCCCCGCGGAGCACCAGGCCCTGCAGCAGACCCGAGCTGGTTCTCTCCCTGGAGGCTCATTGCTTCGACCCGAGGGGTTCTCTACACCTGCACTCTCCCCTCAGCCCTCAACCCAGCTCTGCTTGCTTCAGCATCCCCGGAGGGAGAGACGATGGCCAGAGGGAAACTCATCAGACAGCCTCATTTTGCCCCTGTGTTCTGTGTTCTAGTGCTAAGCGGGATCTCAGAGTTTATTTTGCATGCCCTTCCTGCTGCAGACTTTCTATATTAGTTAGGACACTTCGCCTGCAAGAAAGGAATTTAATCCAGCTAAATTATTTCACCTACTGCTGCCTAACAAAACACCCAAAACTTAGTGACTGAAAGCCACAATAGTGTATTATTTTTCATGACTCTGGGGGTTGGGGATTCTGGCAGGGCTCCACTGGGTGGGTTTTCTGATCCATGTGGCATGAGCTGGGGTCGTGCACTTGGCTGCATTCAGCTGGTGCCTGGGTCCCATGTCTGTGCTTCATTGCTCTCTAAGTGGTCCTCTCTCTCCATGGGATCTTTTCTGATTCAGTAGTCTGGCCTCAGCTCCTTTACCTGGCAGCTGGGTCCCGAGCGAGCAAAGATGGAAGTTGCCAGGATTCTTAACAGCTAGGTCTAGACCTGGTAGGGCAGCGCTCCACCACGTTCTATTGGAGGAGGGAATGGATCCCGTCTCCTGCGGGGAAGAATGACTTACGTGTCCAGGGAAGGGAGGCATTTACGGTGACCACCTTTGCAGACTCCAGCACTTTCTGCGAAAAGGAGAATGTAATATCAGGCCACAGAGATATCTCAAGGGATCCGAGACGGGAACACAGCCTAGCCTCATGAAAGGTCTGCTTCCCGACCCACATGTTAGAAAATCCTAACCCATTCTATGTCCCCAGTTGTCATAGCTTTTCTTAGTCCTAATTCCAAGTTCCCAGGAAAGAACTCTGATTGGCCCAGCTCACCCTGAGTGCCTGCCCCTCATCCAATCAGCTGTGGCCGGAGGTGCCAGGCTGTGCACACACGGCTGGCAGTGCTCGTCCTGAGTCTGCAGAGGGCCTCTGTGACTTGGACAGACACCCATGGCGTGGACAGGGGAGTTTTAGAATGTATTAAGTCTGGAATTAAACCCTTGCCTGGGGAAATCTGTGTTTGCGGATTTTGTTTTTGTTTTTCCCATAGTAGGTCCTGCATCCTTATTACATTTCCTTCTGTCCAGAGCCTCTCAAAGGCGTTTGCTCACTATCCTGCCTGCAGAGGGAGAGGCAGCCAGGTGGCTTCCATTCGAGGTCAACTTCTCTAAACAGATGGGCCCAAAAAAGTAATTAGGATTTGTCATTAACCTGGGTGTCCAGATGCT